GCCCTGCAATATGGCTGTTTGCTCTCTCATGTGAGAGGTGACAGTTTGAGAGGTTGGACGACTTGCTCTCCTTCACTCAGCAGTTCAGGATGATCAGCTGATTGGGGAGTCTGAGGTTGAAATAGGGTCTTCAAGGAAGAACTCACCGAGAAGGTGACAAAGGCTCGAAGGCAGTAATGAAGAGAGCCATGTGGACAGCTGAGGCATTCTTGGCAGAAGGAAGCTGCCTCGTAGGTTTGAGGAACAATATGAGGTCAGCAGAGTGAGTGTGAGGGACAGAGTGGAGCTGACCTTGGAGAGAGCAGCAGACGGGCACATTGTGAAGGGCTTTTTACTCTGAGCGTGACACGAGGCCTGGGGAAGGTTTTGAGGAGAGGAGTGGCATGGTCTGACTCCTGGTTTAACAGCAAACACCAGCTCCCTGTTAAGAACAGACTGGGAGGGTCAGGGGTGGAGGCAGGGAGCCCAGGTGGAGATGGCAGGGTAGCGTAGCTGGGTGGGAAGAGGTTGACTCCTGAATGGACTTTGAAGGGCGACTTGATTGGTGATGGATCCGATGGGAGGGGTAGGTTGAGAGAGAAAGAGGAGTCCAGGAAGACACCAAGGATTTTGGCTTGAGCACTAGACAGATGAAGCCACTGATTGAAATGGGAGAGTGGGTTCGGGAAGGGGCTGGCAATCAGAAGTTCACTTCTGTACATGCTCCATTTCAGATTCCTGTTATGATCACCAAAGTTTTGGAAGTGTTGTGGACTAAAGACAGAAGCAAAAGGAAAACGCGTAAGCATATATTTATCTGGGCCTTCAAACCAACCATCCTACTTTAAGAGAACGATAGGTTTCCCTACGGTAAACAGAGAGTGGGTGGAGAATTCTCCAGAGTTTCTGGCTTGCTTGGAAGGTTTCCATAGGTCTGCAAACCTTTTCTGTAAAGGGCTAGATAGTACATATTTTAGGTTTTGTGGGCTGTATTAGTCAGCTAGGATGGCCATAGCAGAATACCACGGACTGGGGGCCTTGAACAACAGAAATTCATCTTCTCGCAGTTCCAGGGGCTGGAGGTCTGAGATCAGGGGGCCAGCATGCTTGGGTTCCAGTGAGCGCTCTCTTCCTGATGTGCGTTCAGCCACTTTCTCACTGTGTCCTCCTGTGGTGGGGGTGGGCAGGAGGTCGGGGGAGAGAAGGAGAGAGGGAAAGATGTCTTCCTCTTCTTATTGGGCTACAGTCCTAACAGGTTCGTGCCCCACCCTTACGATCTCATTTAACCTGAATTACCTCCTGAAGACCCTCTCTCCAGATACAGTCATACTGGGGGTGAAGATTTCAGCATAAGGATTTGGAGGGACACGATGCCGTCCATAGATGGGCCATACAGTGTCTGCAGGAACCACTCAGCCCTACAGTTGTGGTGTGAAAACAGCCATAGAGGATGTGTCAACAAATGGGCATGGCCATGTGCCAGACAACTCATGTACAAAGCAGGCAGTGGGCTGGGTTTGGCCCCTGGGCCATAGTTTGCCCGGCACCTTGTAGGTGCTCAATATACATTCGCTTCCTTTAATGCTCGAGTTGATGTATGTTCTTTAAAAAAGAGTGTGGCTACCTGTTTCCCTAAGTTGGTCCTTCCTGTTCCGCTCGCGTCATTCTTATGCCCCTGGTGTTGGCCTCCCTTACAGTGAAATTGCAGCTGACATGTGCATTAGGGTCTAAAGTCAGTGTTAAATTAGCGCTTGATGCAAAATCATTGTGTCACCAAATCATCTCTAACGTGGCTGTACCCAATTACTTTCCCGTCAACAGTGATGCTGTGGAGAGCATGTCTCGGTACCAGCATTTCAACCACTTATTCATCTATGTGTCCCTACATTCGGGACAGGATGGGAGAGGAGTTGATCCATTCATCACTAGAACCTGGGGAAAAGGAGAAGGACTTTTCTGTGATTCCGAAACTTTTTCTGGAACAATAGATGAGGAATTTTGTACCAGGCGACGGAACCTGGAGTGTTCGGAAGGTTGATAAGATGGTGATTTATTTTGATGTGACTGCGAGCGCTACAGAGGGATGTTACTGCTATGAGTCTTGTTAATACAAAAATATTAAGCCCGCTCCTGCTCCCTGTGTGCCCCTGATGGGAACGATACAACATATAGGAAAACAAGATTCTTTACTAGAAATATTGCTTTGCATGCTCTCTTTTATTATTTTGCGTTGCTGGGAGAAAGCGGAAGAAAAGAAACGAGGCAGTGAATGGTGGGAATCATGGGGAGAGAGGGCATATTTGGGGTCTGCAAATGGATATTGAAAATGCAAAATAGCTTCCTGATTTGTGGTTGTGTTACGGCATGTGCCTCAGCTGGTAGTGTTAGTAATGGAATTTTGAACTTCTCAATGGATAGGATCCTGTGTGCATAGGAATAAAACATATGGTCACCTGAATAGCACCACCCAAAGCCCCCATCCCTAAAAAAAAATCCCCTCATTATTTGCATCTCCCAACCTGTGCTAATGGGCTTAAAATTTACTGCAAAGGTAGTCTTTCCTTTGGGGAAGGAGGTATCTTGGTGAAGCAGAATGAACATGGGCGGGGCCAGCCCCGGGGCCGAGTGGTTAAGTTCATGCTCCGCTGCGGTGGCCCAGGGTTTCGCTGGTTCAGATCCTGGGCGCAGACATGGCACCGCTCATCAAGCCATGCTGAGGCGGCGTCCCACATGCCACAACTAGAAGGACCCACAAGTAAAATATATAACTATGTACTGGGGGGATTTGGGGAGAAAAAGCAGAAAAAAAAGGAAGATTGGCAACAGTTGTTAGCTCAGGTGCCAATCTTTTTTAAAAAAAAAAGAATGAATGTGGGCTTTGGCCTCTGCTAAGAGCTTAGGGTTTTTTGAGCACTGTGTTAGTTATCTATTGCTGCATAACAAATTACTCCAAACCTTAGTGGCTTAAATAAACATTCATTATCTCAGTTTCTGTGGGTTAGGAATTCAGAATGGCTTAACTGGGTGGATCTGGCTTGAGATGTCTCATGAGATTGCAGTCTGAATGGCGGCTGGGGCTGTAGTCTGTTAACTCTGGTGGACTAGAGGAAACCTTCCAAGAAGACCCATTCACGTGGTGAGCAAGCTGGTGCCAGCTGGCTGTTGGGAGGCCTCAGCTTCTCTCAATATGGGCTCTTCCAGAAGTCTGCTTGAGTGTCTTCATAGCATGATGGATGGCTTCCCCAGAGTGAGCTAAGACCAAAGCATAAGCTAGAAAGCCTTTTATGACCCAGTCTCAGGAATCATACACAGTCTCCTCCACAATACTCTACATGGCTCAGGCCTACTTAATGTGACAGGGGAGTACACAAGGGTGTGAATACCAGGAGGCTGGGATCACTGGGGCCATCTTGGAGCCTGGCTACCGTGAGAGATTGCTATGCCTCAGACAGTGTCCGTGTGCTTTATCTCATTTGATCTTCAGAGGAACAGAAGCAGTACAAGGTGGATCTACTACCATGAGAAACGGAAACCATTCACGCAGCGAGTGACTGGTGAAGCTGGAATTGTAATTTACACAGCTGAGTTCAGAGCCTGTGGATTACCCACCTCAGACAGACCTGAGTTCAAATGCGAGCTCTGCCCCTTGCTGCCTCTTGACCTTTGTAATGCAACCTGAGGTGCTTGTGCAGACCAAATGCAGGAACAGTCTGGAAAGCACAAATGCAGGGCTTGGCAGGCGTGGTGTTCAGCAAACGTTTTTTTTCTTTTCTCTTCCCCTTGAATTTTCTAAGCTGGGGTACATATATGACAGGTTATGTGAGAGAGAAATTTTACACAGCGCATGTATGAAATGTTTTTTAATTATAGGAATGATATATGTATTTTAACGTATATTTGTAAAAAAATTAACAAATTGAATTGACAAATTGCTTCATTGAATCTCAGTTTTGATATCCATAAAATGAACATAAAAATGCTTACCTCTTAGAATTGTATGGATTGAAAAAGGTAATGTAGGGGCCGGCCCGGTGGTGCAGCAGTTAAGTGTGCACGTTCTGCTTCTCGGCGGCCTGGGGTTCACGGGTTCAGATCCCGGGTGTGGACATGGCACAGCTTGGCAAAAGCCATGCTGTGGTAGGCATCTCACATATAATGTAGAGAAAGATGGGCATGGATGTCAGCTCAGAGCCAGTCTTCCTCAGCAAAAAAGAGGAGGATTGGCAGTAGTTAGCTCAGGGCTAACCTTCCTTAAAAAAAAAAAAATGGTAATGTATATCAAATGCCTAGCCATTTAAAGTTCATAACAGGCACTCAGTAATATTTATTACTATTAACCCGTGATAAATATAAAGTGTACTGGGAAATATGGATGTGGTATTCAAGGTTAAGAACTGGAACCATGATCCCTGGCATTTTCTATATTTTCTATATTTTAAGGGAGACCCTCTGAGCAATTTGAATTCCATTTAAGATTGTGACCCAGTAGTAGAGGAAGCTAAGAAGAAAATCTTCTTAGTTATGTTAATAGCATCAGCGAGAGTTAAGTTTTACAGTCACAATCTTGATAAGGTAAGATGTTTCAAAAGCAGATGTTTTTATATGTAAGAAAAGCGGTTGGCTTCATTGGGTATAGAAATGTGCTTTTGAGAATTTCTTCCTTCCCACGCCGAGGTGGCCTAATTGTCGCAGATGCAGATGTTCGGCTGCACGTTCCTTTGGGTATGAATTCACACCACTCTGGTTTACCTTAACTAGAGGGACTTACTCTCCCACAATTTAATTTCCAAGCTCTAATGCAAAGCAGGCTTATTTGCTTTGACAGGCAACTACAAGATAAACAGAAAGGGGCAAACTTATATCGTCAGCCAGCACTCTGCCATTATGAGTAATATGGCTTAACAGGAAAGGAAATGAAGAAATAAAAAAGAGATCCCAGACACCATAAGATTTCCCCTAAAGAACTTATTTCCAATGAACCCTAGAAAATGGAACCAGGAAAGGCTCTTAGAAGACCAGGAGAAACAAATATTGATTGATTTATTCATAATTTGTGTCCCATCTTCTGCAAGTAATTTGATGCGGCTTAGAAAAGACATTGAATCTTTTTTTTAAAGGATATTATCGCCAGAGGCATTCAAATAACTTTGAAATAGATGGTCAAATTTCAGGATGTCAAGCCAGTGGTTTGACTTTCTCTGAATTTGAGACTTTTTAACTTAGGCTATAATCTTAGTGATGAAAACGATTGGCGCTGAAAGAAGATAATGTGACTTAAAATGTAGTATTTTTTTCTCTTGCATAATATCAAAGGCAGTCCATGTTTTTGAAAAACGTAAACAATTAAGAAGTAAAAGTAAAATATAGAAGTCATCCTTTATCACGATTGACATTGTTAGTAGTTTTGAGGATAGAGTGGCATTCATCATTTCTGGTGGCCTCGTGTCATTCTGCCTTCTAAAGCCAGTTTCCTCTCGTGGAATTGTTTTCCCCCTACTTTCGTCCCCATTTGAGGAGCTGGGGTCATCCTGAATCTCCCTGGACCGCCACATCTACTGGCAAATATCCAGCGGAAATGGGAGACTCACTTATACTGTTCGAGACAGCCTGGGATGAAGTTCCATGTTGCCATTAACACTTTAGAGCGCGTACTTTTACCTGATGTATTTCTTTGCTATGAAATAGGAGGCCAAAGTCAGTAGGAGAGACCCTGACAGTGTGGTATGGAGCTGTGTAGCTCTCAGTAGTTGTTCAATAAATGTTTAAGGAATAAATAAAGCATTGACCACCACTATCTCTTTTAGCGGGCATTTGTAATTCTGTGCATTCACCACAAGAGACTACAAAAAATTACTGGAAAAACAGCTCAAAAGTTAGTTTTATGCAATGATGCACTGCTTTGCCTTTCATTTTTTTCCCCATTCCTTCTCCTTTTTCTTTTGATATCCTCCCTTCTTAGAAACCCGGCTCCTCAACTCTGAACTGAAAGGCAACATTGCTTTCCTTTGCGTTTTATAGGAAAGATCTGCAAATGCATCCTGATGTCTTAATGACTATGAATGGGGAAGTATTTATGTATCTTTGTGTTTTGTTTCCATAGGATCCTTTTGCGGCAATGCTTTAGGTTAAAGATGTGTCACTGGTAGGGTTGCTATTTGGGCTCAGGTAGTCATCTCTACCTCAGTTCCGTATATTCCACTCTCCACTTCCCTTATCCCTTATCTCTATTCCCTTATCCTTCCCCAAAGTGAAGGTAAAAATGGGTAAGTGTATCAGTCACAATAGGCTTCAGTGCCAAGCTCTCATTGGGTTAAACAACAAAATTTCTTTCTTGCTCATGTAAGGTCTGCCTTGGTTTGCACAGCTTTTCAAGGCAGCGTTCAATGACTCCGCTGTGCACCTGGAGATCAATAGGTGTCTCCACACTCGCCTACGCAGAAGAAGACGACGTTGTAGAATTGAACACCGATTTTGTATGCGTTTGCTCACATTTCATTGGTCAAGGTAGTCACGTGGTCATACCTAGCTTCAAGGCAGCAGGAAAGTATAATCTTGTCAAATGCTTGGAAGCAGAATTGGAAATATTGGTGAACAGAATCAGTGACTGCCATTCTCAGTCTCTTGGATTATGGCGGGTTGAAAAGGGGTGTGAGTAGTAGGTACTTCTGAACCCCAACAGTTGAACTCTGCCTAGGATTTCAGGTGGGGTTCATCCAGAGTAAGAGTTTTGAAGTCTTCTTTCCTTTTCTTATTAAGCAGTTACCTACAAAGCTAGTGTGTGAAATAGGGCATCTACTTAAGTTCTCTCGGCAGAAAAGATTTATTCTCTTCCAAGTAATTTCAGTTTTAGTCAGCATTCCACTGCCAGCCTTCTGCTGTAGCAATTTGGAGAAGTTTTAGATTTCTGAGAGAATGAATCACGGAGGAGAAGCTCTTGGGTAAACCCAACTCTCAAGCTGTTCTATCTTTTGAGAAGTGTTGATCACCGTGCAGGAAAAAGTTGGACCCCTGTGTTGATAAAAAAAGAAAGAATGAGCAAAAAACAGCTGCTTTTTTTTTTTTTGGTTTAGGAGTCTTTCTTAATAAGGAATAATGAGCATCAACACCCAGTTATTCAGTAAACCAATTAAATTAAATTAGCATAGCCGGGGAAACAAAGGAAGAATCCTTCAACTCTTTCATTTATACTATAGACTCGGCAGTCACAATATGAGACGGAGTAGTAACAATACGGTCTGTAAAGTCAATTAATATTAATTTTTCATTTTTTATCAAGTGAAACTATTTAAAATGCCTCCCCCCTCCCCAATAGATAGTTCCAGTATATTATTTTCTTTTCTTTCCAATCACAATAAAATCGAGATAAAATTAGTTTTCTGAGCCTCTCCTATTACTGGTTTATGTTCAAGGCTGTGTCTTTGAAATCATTTTAGCCCATCTCCTTTTGAGGCTTTCCCATTGCTCACTCTAGTTAAGCTGCAACAAGGATGGGCCATCCCAGTACAGTAAAGAATGCGGCTTTCGAGAATGGTCTTAGGTCAGGAATTATTACTGCTTGAGGGCTCCAAGATCTAGTTATGGCTTTCTGCAAACCCTGTGGGCTCTTATGATAATGCTTTTCTCCACTATTATTGTTATAAGGCATTAAATCAGTCAGATTCATGAGCAACAAGAGGTCAATGTCTGATTGAAATTCATAAGGTCAAAAAGGAAACTAAAAATCAATTTATAAGATATGAAGATTTAGGTTCAAACTATATCCATGAGCAATAAAATTTCACATCCATAAATGTAAGAAAATCAGTTATTAAACTTGAGGGGGGAAAGAAGACTTATTAAGTTTTACACACACATAAGGCAGCTAACACATAATTTTATCAGACATTACTGAAATCCTGTGTGTAATATAAGCGATGATGGGCTAAAATGCTAAATGGTTTAGCACTAAATTATTAAGTGATGTGTCCCTAAGGTATTAAACAGATAGAAAATGCAGAGCAGGTGTCTCTCCTAGCAAGACTTGATCACCGGTTTAAGTGCGTGTTGATAACAAATGCACTTCAGAGGGAAAATAGTATTAGTAATATTTTTGCTGCGTGAAAGCCTGGTGTCAGGGTGACTAAAAGCTTCTACCTGACAAAGAAATGTTCATTTCTTTTTTTTTTTTTAGGAAAAAAATTAATCATGATAAATGTTAGGTCCCGATGGAGCAAAAGGGGAATTCTGGAGGGATTCGAGCATTTTGGCTCTTTGCTTCCATCATCCATGCATGTAAAAAACAGAATGAATGGAAAAGAAGAGCCATCTACATTATGCAGTAAAAATTGAAATTATGAACACGGTTAGTGTAGCAAAATAAAAATATAATTTTGCCAGGATGAGTGTAAAGGAAACTTTATGTAAGCAAACATTTGGGTAAAAAATTCCAATCTTTCAGAACCATGAGCACAGTTTATCACCTCTTTGTTTGCTTGATTTCCCTTTTTTTCCTACCAATAAAAGGAAAACAGAACCTTCTGATGGTCTATTTGGTCATCAGAAGCTTTGGATGAAAATTAAATAGCAAAAATGTGTGTTTGGGAGTGAGTTGGATGGCAGTTTTCTCTTGTCTCTTTAGATACAATATCAACGCAAATATAGTTTCCGGTAGGGTTATGGAAGTGAGATGTTAGCTGGGTCTCTCTCAACTCCATACACTGGAAGTTCAGAGCTATCTCCCCAAATTTCACAAATTCCCAGGAGGCTTATATTTTTTATCTGTCATCCTTGGAGCTGGGCGCTGTGTTTGCTGCATGACTTTGGTTTATGAATCTTTGCACCATCCCATGTTGGCCCATGTATTGAACTGAACCCCTTTTTTGAATTACATATACACACACACGCACATCCTCCACTCAGAGGAATCATGTAGAAATATAAATTCAATAGATGTATGAAAGTACACTTAATTTTCATTTTAGAGCTATGGAACAGAGCTTAGAGAGCTTCAGGAAGTTGCTCAAGGCTCTGCAGCCTGTGCATGGAGCGGGGACTCCAACATTGACTGATTCCGAGTCCATAGTCTTACCTACTCTCTTCTTCTAGACTTGGTATCTCCTGCTGGTTTAGATACAGGCCAAGAAACTATGTCCCACAGGCCAAATGTGGCCCTCCATCTGTTTTTATAAATAAAGTTTTATTGGAACACAACCATGCCCATCTATTTACATGTTATCTATCACTGCTTTCACACTACAATGACCAAGTTAAATAGTGTGACAGACACTGCATGGCCTGCAAAGCCGGAACTATTTATTTCTTGGCCCTTTGTGGCAAAAGTTTATTGACCCCTATTTTAGATGGTAGACCAAGATCTACTCATGGACAACTGGTTTCATGAACATTAGCAGGTGTGGAACGATTTTAGAAAAAGCTGTTTTGTGATGAAATAAGACTAGGAAATGCTAGGTCAAACAGAGTTAAACATGCTCCTCTCTAGAGCTTTTAATGTACTGTTGGATATAATTTCTCTTCAAGAAGGTGATAGACTGGCATAATTTGAACTCAGAACTCTGTGTGTGTATTTGTGTGTGTGTATAACCTTTCTTAGGACACATTTGAGAAAGGCTGGATTAGGTAATAATTTGGGGAATATGCTTCCAAAAGGTTGCCATTAGAATGCCTGAGTGTTCCTTGGGAAAGTGGGTAGAGAAGAAAAGAATTTACCATTTATAATTTAGGATTGGTTATTTTAATATAATCTCGAATATTACCTTTGTAAAAGGTTTTCAGTCTATGGTCCAAAGATTATTGGAATTTTCCATGATCTGGGCCGAGCTAATCTTTTTTGACTTTGTCTAAAAAAATGACCTACCAGATAGAATTTTGTTCCTTTTAATTTTCCTTCCCATAAATCTTTCTTGAGCCTCTCCGTGAATACCAGCTAAAAGTGAATAAACAATGAATGAACAATAATTGGATAATTATTAATAAAAATTGGAACTGGTAGACCTTATTTACTTTAATAACATTTTCTTAAAAGAAAAGATGTATTTATGGTTGTTCCATTGTAGTTGTATCATCTAGTTATTTTCTGCCTAATCAGTTGCTCTTTGTACAGTAGAATCATACATAGTGTATTTCATGGCGTTCTGTAACTGTCGTACACAGCCCTGTAGAACAAGATAGGGCTTTCAGAGGCTCTAGTTGGCTTTGGGTCAGCAGTGTCCAATGCTGGAAGATTGGATTACTCACAACTGATTTGGTTTTCGATAACAAAACCAAACTCAAACTTGATAAGCAATTGATTTATCTAACTGAGACAGGAGTGGATGTAGCTTCAGGCATGGCTGTTTCCAGGAGCTCAAATGACATCACCAGGATTTTTTTCTTTCTTCATTATTTTGTTCTGATTTCCTCCAGCTGATTTATTCTCATGGGGTATCTAAGATTATTGACATTACTAGCTCACATTGTGGCTATAGCTAAAGATTCCAGATTTTCTTAAAGAGCTTCCTATCAGTTCCTGAGAATGTCTTTGATTGGTCCTGCCTGGTTCTTTTGCTCAACCCTGGACCAGTCACTGTGGCCAGCTAGAGGTCTTCTGATTGGCCAGACTGGATCTCCCGATCAGACGTGTGGCAAGAAAGAGAGACCCCATGTATGATGGTCCCGCAGGAGGCAGAAGGGGAAGTTCCCGGAAGGAAAGGGAAGGGCTATTGAATGGGGAAAACCCGCAGACGTCTATCATTGGGTGTTGGAGGCAGAGACATTGGCTGGGGTCAAAAAGAATCTTGGTTTAGGAAAGAGGGGGCCGTGTAGAATGTAGGCTTCGTGAGGCCAGAATTTTGGTTTGTTTTCTTCACTACTTAGGGCTTAGCACAAAGGAAACACTCATTAACTGGGTGCGTGAAGTGTTCAGTGGGCCATGGGAATTCAAGAACCCATAGCAAAGATCACGCAAATCCTGGGAGTGAGGTGGGAGATTATAAAACGCCCGCAATTGTCCGCTCCTCCCATAAGGAGGTGGAGTCCATGTCCCGCCTCTGCGCTTGCCTCTGGCTTGGGAGCCTCACCTGCTTTGCACAGCTGGACATGAACAAACACCACCCGGGCAGAAGCTTGAAACGCACCCCTGCACTGGGCTTCCCTCTGCTGCTCTGGGAGCTCGGCCGCCATTGGGGCAGCCTGAGGCTCGCCTGCTGGAGGAGGAGAGGCCGTCGGGGCGACAGCGGTGGCGCCCCAGCCAGCAGCCAGCTGCCAGCCCGCCGCCCCGCCCCAGCTGTCGCAGCAGCCGCTCAGTCACAGGCTCCCCAGTGAGTGTCCCCCAAGACCCGGCGGGCTGGCCCGCAGCCGCGGAGCCTCCCAACCCCAACTGCCAATCTGCAGGCTCACGACTAAATAAAATCTCTTGTTTTAAAGCACTGAGTTTTCGGAGGGGTTTGTGATGCAACAAATGCTCCCTGATCCAGTTAGCTGGGGGCTTGCCTGAAGAGAAATAGATCCGAGGCCCGTTCTCTGGGGAGCAGTTTTTTCCCTTGTGTTGGCTTTCCTTTAAAGCGCAGAAGTTTTAAAGTCCTCGAGTTCATGGCTTGGCTTTTCCTTCCCCTGGTGTGCAAATAGATGTCTAACATTTGCATTTTGATCAGTCTTTCTATATTTCCCTGACGGATTTTCAATGGAGGAGGAGAGAGTGTTTTATAATTATTAGCATTATTTTATCGTCTCGTATATATCTCAGTTAATGCCGACATGATTGTTCTTGCTGTTGTAACCTGAATTAGAAATTTTCACGGCCGGGTATTGATCATTTATGGAATTGTGTGACGAAAGAAAAACAGTTCCCTCTCTGCCTCTGAGAAATCAAAATAGTGAGGAGAAAGGATGGGGCAATAAAAAGTCAAAACATACGTGGTATTTTACGAGGCACTGTCTTCATGATTTTTTTTCTTAAAAGGAGAAGCTATTATTGTTGAGGGAATTTCTATTATAATAAATATCAATAAAATTGTTTGGGAGTTAAAAAATACATGCTTATTTGAAATGATTTCCAGGTAAAGTTTTATAAAATTACTCTTGCTTTATGACATTATGTACATCTTTATTATATTAAAATATAAATTATATTACATAGCATTATAAATTGTTATTAAAGTGATCTGCAGCATAACGAGCAGAGAACTTAAATATAACTGTAAAAACTGAAATAAAAATCTATTAATGCAATAAACCTACTTAATAAAAGTTACTTTCGTATTCAAAAACAAAATATTAAGGCATGCTTCAGATCGGAAAGTCAAAAATGAGGGAATAAATTAGTGAAGGTTAAGAACCTTGTAGCAGCTGACTAACAAAGCTCTAGGGGATTATAAAATTTCATGCTCCTGTAATAAAAAGGATAAAGGATTGGCTGGAAGACCACTAAAACTTAAAATAGATGAACATAAAGGAGATGAAAAAGTCTGACATGACTGAGACCACTAATGTGGAAAGACTAAAGAGATGGCATTAAAGTGTTAGAGGCTGGAATTAAATGTAAAATGAATTCTGGTAGTAGATTAATAGAAAATTATAAAGGTAAATGAGTTCAGTTTCATGGTTTCAGAAAACTTTATATATCTCATTATTTTTCTCAGCATTTGAGAAGAGGCGAGTGAGACAAATTAAAATCTGGCATAAACCATATTGGAGTGGGTGGAAGTGCCAATGATTCCCCCAATGCTACGCCCCCTTTATTCCCTAATAATTGACCTTTAATTGTCAAGTGGCACAGGGAAGATCCAAATAAAGCAAGATTTCCCAGATTCCCTTGCTCCTAAATGGACTGTGAACCTGGGTTCTTGTTCAATTAGTTGTAAGAGGAAGTGACAACTTTCCAGAGATGTATTTAAGAGGAAGTTATGGGTACTTCTTTACCTCCCTCCTTCCCCTGTTCCTTCCTGATGACTGGAGTGTGGATGTAACAGCTGGTGCTCTGGCAACAATTTTGGACCATGAAGTGATCATGGGAATGAGAACCGTACATTGGGAGAAATAAGACAGAGGGAGCCTGGAACCACCATGCAGCCTTCATGTCAACCTTGGCTTCTAGTGCCAGAATTAAGAAACTTCTCCCACTGCTATTTTGGGTTTTCTATCCTTCCAGTCAAAAACTCATCTTAACTAGGATAGAGTAGATTTCTCCTATGTCCAGGTAGAAAGGTGAAAATTGATATTTTGTTTTGCAAACAGCAAATGCACAAGCCAGTGGTGGACCTCAGCATAAAATGCAGTCATACATCACTTAACGATGGGGATACCTTCTGAGAAGTGTGTCGTTAGGTGATTTCGTCATTGTGTGAACATCGTGGAGTGCACTTAACAAATCTAATGGTAGAGCCTACTACACACCTAGGCTGTATGGTACTCATCTTCTGGGACCACCGTGGTACATGTGGTCAGTCATTGACCAAAACATCACGAGGCAGTGCCTGACTGTAATACCAGCTCCCACGTTGGAATTGAGGCAGTGGGCATCTGAGGATGGGACCACTTATTTATCGGTGCTGATGCTGGGAAGGGATAGCTCACTATAAGCCAAGGTCTGCTCCAAAATCCGGTACACGAGCAACCTGATAGCGGTGGTAAATATGTCCAAAAGCTGGATTTGTGCAGAAAGGACATTGTTATTTAGATCTGCATTAGGGATCAATGTAAATATCTGTTTTGAAGAGTTGCTTTTAGTCATATTTTCTTTTCTTTTTTTCTTTTAAAGATTGGCACCTGAGCTAACAACTGTTGCCAATCTTCTTTTTTTTTTTTCTGCTTTATCCCCCCCCCCCCCCCCCCCCCCGCCCAGTGTATATCTTAGTTGCAGGTTCTTCTAGTTGTGGGATGTGGGATGCCGCCTCAACGTGGCCTGACGAGCGGTGCCATGTCCGCGCCCAGGGACCGAACCCTGGGCCACCGCAGCGGAGCACGTGAACTTAACCATTCGGCCACGGAGCCAGCCCCATCATATTTTCTTAAGATTAAGAAAATGTCAACGAATGAAAACAAAGATATTTTGCTACTGCTTATTTGGGGTGACTTTTGAGGACAATGGATTTTATGTGGTGGGAGGCAGGCTCAAGCCCTCCATGTGCCCCTCCCCCCATTCCATCTTGGTCCCTCCACTGCTATAAGCATATTTCCTCTGATTTCTCTTCGCCTTGACCTTTCCCAACTCAATCTACCATAACAGTTGAAATGGCACTTGGTTGCTCTTAAGGAAATAGCCGGTACCTTTGCTACAGGTAGCATTAGCCCTTGATCCGGAGTAGATTTTCCAAACCATTAGTACAACTGCTGACCTATACAGAAATTCTTCTCATGGTCTGAAATTAATGATGGTGGAACTTGACTTTCCCAGAACTGTTTGAGAAAAGTATCTCATGGCCTTTGTTTTACTGTGGTCTCTGGGAAGCCTTCACACCTTGTGCCTCTCCCCTCTGTAACTCCTGCCCCTCCTCTGCTTACCCCTAGGGCACCTCACCGTGCCCTCTGTCCTTGCGCTCAATGGGCTGAATTATAATTCTTCCCTCCCCTCCTCCCTCCCTCCTTTCTTTTATTCTTCCCTTTTCCCCCCTCCTTCTCTCTTTTCCTCCCTCTCTCCTCCCTCCCTCCCTCTCTGTCTTCTTTCCCAACCCAATATTGATTTAGCATCTCCTCTGTGCTACACCTTTTCTAGGCACTAGACAGATGGCAAACAACAAAACACACAAAAACAGTACACCCTTTCAGAATTTTGCTAACTTGCTTGTCCTCGGAAGGCCCTTAGTGAAGGGTCATTTATAAGCTTTGCTGAGGTCTAGTTTCAGTCTATTAAGGTAAGGTTGGGTGCAGAAGGGAGCTATGTAGTCAGTTATGATCCAGGTTTCACATTATTCTCTTGACCACTACTTTATCACATACCTGGAAACTCTCGTGAAATTCATGACAACAACTGCTGCAAATTTGCTTCTGGTGACAAATATGATGTGAACAGGAAGCCCACTGGTGATGAAGTAGAAGGGCAATTGAAGAGAGAAATAGATGATTCCAGCTAGAAAATGAAAGTTTTAAGTAAATTGAGGAGTGGAAAAAAGTATTTGAATGATAGCTTGGATCTCTAACTTTGTTTCTATAAATGAACGTAGAAAAGTGTTTTGGGAAACCCAGTCAGGGAAGAAATTATATTTTATAAGGAGGTAGATAACTAAAAGCCCAGAGGATGGGGGATGAAGGGAGCATTTGGAACGTGGAAATGCACAAAGGCTGTATCCTTTATCAATGTAGGATTGGCATTATTTACGAGGAGTAGATGATGTAGTCACTGAAAACCCTCAAATATTGGCGGCTTAACACAACAAAAGTTACTTCCTGTTCATGCTATCAATCCAGCAGGTCATCCAGGTGACGTGGGGAGGCCCTGTAGTCACCCACAGACCTGGGTTGAAGGGAGCAACACTCCAACGCTGTCTCTTGTCACTGCACCAGTAGGCCAGAACATGGCTGTCTTAGTCAGTTCAGGTGCTGAAACAAAGTGCCGTAGACTGGGTGGCTCATAAGTAATAGGCATTTCTGTCTCACAGTTCTGGAGGCTGGACGTCTGAGATCGGGAGCCACCATGGTCACGTTCTCGTGAGGGCCCTCTTCCAGGTTATACAGGGCCAACTTCTTACATGTCCTCATATGGCAGAAAGAGAGTGAGCTAGTTCTTTGGCCTCTTCTTATAAGGGCACTAATCCTATCCATGAGGGCTCCACCCTTATAACCTAATCACCTTTCAAAGGCCCCACCACATAATACCATCCCATTGGAGATTAAATTTCAAAATATGAATTTTGGAGGGACGTGAACATTACTCCATAACGATGGCAAATCACTCATCACCTCTTAAACCTTCCATTTGGAAGTAACACATATAACTCTTGTCTACGTTTCATTGGCTACAGCAACGCACGTGGTCATGCCTACCCTTCAGAGGGGCAGGGAATTGCCAGCCTACTGTGCGCCTGCAAAGCTCAGCATCAGAACTCCGTGATGAGCAACACCAACGTCTACACTGTCCGTGCACTTGGCCCTCAGGATGCCATTTCCCCCACTGCATAGGCAGCTCCTTAAAAGCAGAAACCCCATCACACAGATCTCTGATGACCCTCTCCAGCCACATGCTGGCATATAGTAGTTTTTCAGTAAATGTTTGTTGTACTGAATTGATCTTCACTCCTCGTACTTCCCGAAACCTCTCATGATATATTGGTGAAATATTCACCTTTAATTAATGAAAGAAGAAACTCTTTCTACGAGTTATAAATTATTTACCTTACAAAGCCCTTCTGAGCTCTTCAAGCACACTGTAAATAATTCACGTTC